CACACACATTCACAGACACACAAATTGTTTTCTGAGAGATTTTATATTTCAAAAACCTGGATTTTGATGGTAATTAAGAGCACATACTGCTCTTGCAGAGGACTCCCAAATTCAGTTTCCAGCATCCACATGAGGCAGCTCACAACTACTTTAATTTCAAGCTGGCCAAGTGGGCTTGACTGGCCACTGAGCCCCAGGGATCTGCCTAGCTCATACCCCACAGTGGGATTGTAAGGGTTGGGCACCATGCCCAGCGTTTTTGTAGGCACTGGGGATCTAACCGGAGTCCTCCTGTTTTCACAGCCAGCCCTTTACAACTGAATCATCTCCCTAGCTAAGTTAGGACTATGAAATGTTTGTTGAGACAAGATGTGAGCTGGGCAGTGATGCACACCTTTAATCTCAGCACTCAGGAGGGCAGGTGGCTTTCTGAGTTCGAGGCCAGCCTGGTCTACTGAGTGAGTTCCAGGACAGCCAGGGCTACACAGAAACCCTGCCTCAAAAAACCAAGGGGTGGGGGTGGGGGTGCCCACTATGTAGCCCAAGCTGACCTGGAGCTCATGACCCTCCTGCCTCAGTCTCCCTAGTATTGGGTTATAAAATGAACCACCAGGCACAGCCCTTCACTCTATTTTTTACTTTCCGGTGGTTTCCCAGGTTTCAATCAGGTGTGTCCCCATCATAAATCAAGAGCACCTGTGCCGTGATGAGGACACCCTGGGCCTGTTAACAGAAGCCCATTGAGCAGTTTGTTCAAAGTCTACCTGTGCCTGATCGTTTAAGTCGCTTGATGTCCCAGCTCACAGTTCTGAGGCGCCTGGAGTCTTAGAGCCACAAAGAACACGCCCCTCCCCACAGCCGTCAGTCCCCAGCTTTGCTGCCTCCTGGGTGTGTGACCTGGTACCAGTTGGCAGGCAGCCTGCCAGCAAGCGCAGCTCTGCCCCCTCCAAAGGGCAGTTGTAGGGAGCAACGGGGGAGTCTCCCTGCGAACTCCAAGTTAATACGAACACGAAAGGGACAAGTTCTCCATTGATTAGAAAACATCTTTAGTGCAATAAAAATAGCCCCCAGTCTTAAGTAGGGCCCCTCGGGAGTGGGGAGCTCCCAGCTCCTCTGTGGAGAGGAGCTGAGTCTTTAACCAGTCGTTGGTGTCTCTGCTGAAGGAGATAAAGCCCAGGGTTGCTGCGGTGGTTTTACCCTCTGTAATTGCATTCACCTCAAAACCCACAAATAGCCTCGGTTCTCAGCGGTCATTATTTCATTTGAAAAACTAATTGAAAGTTGAGAGAGCCCCGAGTTTTTTGTGTTTGTTGGGACAGGGCAGGGAAAGAGATGAGCAGGTGGGGCCGGGAAGGAGGAAGGAGGGGGTGTGGGCCTCCCATTCAGCGCAGCTCCTCCTTTGTCCCAGACCTTGGCAGGTTCCCCGCCCCCTGCCTCAGCCTGCCCTTCTGGGCTAGCCTTCTCCTCTGCAGGAGCTTTTGTGTCCCATTGTTACTGTCCTCTCCACCCGCCCGAATGGCTTCCTACAGCGCCTTTCCCACGCTTGGCGTTGCTTGCCCGGGCTGGGGGGTGGGGGCGTGGAGCAAGTGGTCTTTCATAGCCCTGGTGCTGGGAGATGGGGCCCTGGCCGCAGGCTTCCCAGGACTGAGGTCAAGTGCTTCCCTTTCCTGCTGCCAGTGAACCAGGCTGGCTGGGAAAGCCAAGAGGTAGGAGTCCCATCCAATTTTAAATGCTGTGGTTATTTTTACACTTTTAATCAGTTATTCCAGATATCCCATTGTCTAGGCTTCTCAGTTGTCTTTTTTGTTTGTTTCTGTTTTTGTTTTTCAAGACAGGGTCTCTCTGTGTAACCCTGGCTGTCCTGGAACTCACTCTGTAGACCAGGCTGGCCTTGAACTCACAGAGATATCCTCCTGCCTCTGTCTCTCAAGTACTTGGATTAAAGGTGTTCACCACCACCGCCACCCAGCTACGGTTATCAATTTTTAAGGCTTACTTACAATAAAATGGATTTATTTATTTATTTATTTATTTATTTATTTATTTATTTATTTATTTATTTATTTATTTATACAGTGTGGTATGTATCCCAGACTGACCCGAATTTACTGTGTAGCCAAGGACAGTCACCTGTTTTCTGAGACATTGTCTCTCACTGGATCCTGGGACTCACAAACTAGACCAAACTGATTGGCCAGTGAGCCTCAGGGATCCATCTTTCTTGATTACCCCCCTCGCCCCAGCCCCCCCCCACACACACTGAGACTGCTCCTGTGCCTGGCTTTCATGTGGTGCTAGGACCTGAACTCAAGTCCTCACACTTGCTTGCACAGCTGTAACTTGACCAACTGAGCTGGCTCTCTGCTCTAGCTGTTTTGTGTTCTTATTCTTTGTGATGCTGCCCTGGGAAAGGTAGCCATATAAACCACGTTAAGAAAAAAAAAATCAGATTGACCATAGAGGAAATTGAACTGCAGATCAGGATGGGGGATTTTATTTATTTACAGAGGAAGGGGGGGGCTCAGAACTGAAGTAGAAGTAGTTGGGTCCAGTTGTGTTTGCGTACGGCTGGCTCAAGCCTCCACTGAAGGCTTCATCCTTGGGAATCCCTGCTGCAGAAAGAAAGAGACACTCAGTCTAGACTCTAGTAAGCAGGAGCCGAACTGAGTTCCCAGAGGCAGCAGGCAGACACGGGAAAGATGCTCATGGCTGCAGAAATGTAAATCCCACTCTTAGCCCCTCCCCTGCTAACAGCTGCCACTGAGACCCTGGGCTGGTCACATCCCTTATGATGAGACCACCTTAGACAGGCCCGGCTTCTTCCCACAAACATGCGCCACTCCCTACAAACCTTTCTGTTGGTCACAGGTTGAACGAGCAACCTCCCAAGAACAGGTGGGAGTCCTCACTGTCTCTGTGAGATACAGACTCCAGGAGAAGAGGCTACCCCTGATCTGAACACAGCTGATCCCTAGCCCCAGCCTTCACACACAGCATCTGCTGGACGGCTGCTATGAAAGTCAAAAAATGGCTAAACCAAATGGCAGCTTCCTGTCAGGAAGGACAGCAGAGGTGGGTGAGTCTCATACTGTAGCTTAGGCTGGCCTGGAGCTTACTAAGTAGCCCAGCTGGTCTTGAACTTTTTGTTTTAAAGATGTATTGACTTAGGCATGTATTTTATGTACCTGGGTGTTTTATCTGCATGTGTGTCTGCAAATCAGAAGAGAGCATCAGATCCCATGGGACTACAGTTAGAGATGGCTGTGAGCTGCTATGTGGGTGCTGGGAAGTGAACGCAGGACCTCTGGAAGAGAAGCTAGTGCTGCTCTTAACTGCTGAGCCATCTCTCCAGCCCTGGCCTTGAACTCTTAATCTTCCTATCTTAACCTCCCAAATACGGGGGTAACAGGCATAAGGCACCAAGCTCCACTTCTCTTGGGCCCCCTGTAATGTTTGAAGGATAACAAAGGCCTGTAGACTTCTTCCTTTGGACTCCAGAGGGAGATTACCTGGTGAGAGGCACTGGATGGAATTCTTAAGAGACAATACTCCCACAGTTCTAGCCTTTGAGCCCTTAGAAGGCATCAGAGTTCACCTGGTCCTTTTGTAGAGGAGGAAATTGGGGACAGATCCAGAACCAGGCCTGGGATCCAGACTGGCACCCAGCCTCCAGTCTGGTTCCCACCCCGCAAACCCTGATCGTGTGCCTGATGGTGAAGCTGGTGAGCTCTCGGCTGTCTAATTAGGTTAGAAAGTGAGGGAGTGCATGGGCGGCTCTGAGGGAACTGAGTTTGTGTCATAGGCTGGTGCGGGAGCACCTGACAGAATTGTACGGGAAGTGTATGTGCCCAGTGTACAGCCAGGCTGTAGAATACAGCGTTTCTTTCTGGACCATTATGCCATTCTTTGGAAGCTGGAGTCTTATGGGAAGACATCCCAAGGTATACAAAGCAAGCCTGGACTGGCTAGTCTCTTCGATTCTGCTTCTTAGCTTTGCTTTTCTCTTTTGTAAAAGGGGAAACTCCAGTGAAAATGTGAGGACCAGTGAGATGGGAAAGGACCATCATGACCAGCTTTGCCTCTCATGACGGTGTTCCGCCTGTTCTGGTCAGCCACTGGGCATGGGAAAGCTGGCCTGTCTTGGGCGTTATAGGTTCATGGACTTCACAGGGGATCCAAGGTGTACCCTTCACATCACCCACAATACAATCCCTTGGGACACCTGTTAAAACAGGGTCTGAGATCCATACCAGAAGCACTGATAACAGTTCAAGACACACTGAGCCTGGCCTCTTGTTCTGCACTGGACACACTGCAGTGGCCATCATGCTCCCTGTCCCTGAGGCCTGGGGGGGTGGGGCTCTCGGCCCTGTGAAGAGAAGGCAATTCTTTGCTTTTCTTGAAAACCCAGAGGGAAGGAAGTCTCTAAAGTCCCCGGAGCAATCTCTCTCTGCCTCCCCTCTACCCCCCTCACCTGTGGTGCACACCCCCTCCCCCTCCCCCTATTACCCCAGTACTCTGGAAGCTGGGGCAGGATGATTGCGTGTCCAGGTTGAGCCTAGGATACAAAGTAAGCCCATCTCCCCCTCCTCTGTCACCTGTGCTTTTGCAGCAGGGCTACCAAGAGGCTCTCCAGCGCCATCTGCCTGTGGTCTGCCCACATGCTGTCCACCTGACGGCCAAGCCGCACCCTGGTTCCTGGTTCCTGGTTCCTCTCCCTGTGGGTTCGGAAAGGAGAATCATCGGTGAGGTTGCCATTGGGTAGGATGTCCAGTCAAGGATGTAGCCCTTTGCTATTCCAGTATCTGATGAGAATTCTTAGGAAACCCACTTACAATTCAGCAACATCTGGGGGGCGGTAGGCATGGCAGTGAAAAATACAGCGTGCATATTCATACCACCGAAAACCCTCCCCACAGACTGCTAATCTGGCAGAAAGCACATTAAACAAGTGGCCAAATGTATTGTCCACCAGTAGCAGGACAAGCCATTGTGCAGCAGCTTCTGATACCGTGGTTGAGAAGGCCACAGCAGGTACTAATTATGAAGGTACCTGGGATAAATTCACTGTGAAGGGCAGTCTAGGAGGCAATGACATTTACTAGTCAAAGCTGTCAAAGTCAAGAAAATCAGGCATCTTCCAGATTAAACGTAAAGATATGCGAAGGGCTGGAGAGATGCCTCAGCAGTTAAGAGCACTTCTTGTAGAGGACCCAGGTTTGATTCCCAGCATCCACATGGTGCCTCACAGCCATCCATAACTCCAGATTCAGGGAACCCAGTGCCCTCTGGGGGCACCTGGCATGCACGTGGTTCACAGATATACATGAGAACAAAACAGTCATACACACAAAATAAATCTAACGATGAGGAAAAGAGATATGATGATGGCTGTATGGAGTCTGTGATCCTACACTGGGTCCAGGGTGAGAGAAGAAATAATTATAAAGAATCTGTTGGGACAACTGATGAAATCAGTTGTGAATCTGTGATGTGAGTGACAGTGACATTGAGGACAGGAGGGGGTGGTGCTCGTTAGGTGTTAGGAGACTTAAGTGCATCGGGGTAATAGGTCATAACTGTAATGCGCAGGCCTGCAATCCCAGCATTCAGGAGGCGAAAGCAGGAGGCTCGGAAGCAAGTCATCCTCAGATACATATGGATCTTAGGCCAGCCTAAGCTATAGAAGACCCTGCATCAAAAGAAATAAGAAATTTAAAAATGGCTCAGCAAAGATGAGACCATTACGGTAAATGTACATGTGTCCAGGTGTGTGTGTGTGTGTGTGTGTGGTTGATCTAGGGAAAATGATAAAATGTTAGGATCTGTTGGCTATAAGAGTACGGCTGTAGCTTTAAATTTTGTATTTATTTGTTTTTATGTGTATGGGTTTTGTTGTTGTTGCAGTTTTTTGTTTGTTTTGTTTGTTTGTTTTTTGTTTTTTGTTTTTGTTTTTGTTTTTGTTTTGCCTACATGTATGTCTGGTGCCTGTGGAGGCCAGAAGAGGGCATGGGAGGGATCCCCTAGGACTAGAGGGGTCAGCCTTCACGTGGGTGCTGGGAATTGAACTCGGGTCCTCTGCAAACGCAGCCCGTGCTAACTCCATCCCCAGGACATTTTTGTACAGTTGAAGGGTTTTCCAAACAAAAACTACAAAGTGAGGTTGTTTGGATCTTCGCTCGGCCACTTTGTGCGTCCTTTAGAGAGGACAGATGGGTCTGTCCAGGGAGGTAATGACAGGTGGTCTCAAAGATCTGAAAGAGACTTAGAGAGGCTGCCCTGGCAGCGGAGTCCTCGTGTAAGCACATGTCCCCATGCCTAGTCTTTGTTTCTGGCCCGGAGCCCCAATCAAATAGGAACATTGTCACCGCAGGAGCCAAGGACAGGGCGAGACACACAGAAGGTGTAGAGGTAAGTAGAGGTTTGACCTATGCAAAATCCAGAAAGGATATATACCAGCAGTTCTCAATCTGTGGGTTGCGAATATCAGATATTTACATTACCATTCATAACTGTAGCAAAATTATAGTTATGAAGTAGCAACAAAATAATTGTATGGTTGGGGGTCATTACCACATGAGGAACTGTATTAAAGTGTTGCAGCATTAGGAAGGCTGAGAACCACCAATGTATACTGTGTCAGGGAACAAACGAAGCTTGGTCCCTATCTCCTGCATCAGGCCTTCCCAGCTCTGATCAGAGGTGACTTCAGAAGGAGCTCCAAGAATGGCTGCCTACCCGTGCTTCCTGCTCATGATGTCCTGGAGCAGTTTGCGGGCAGACAGCTGGCCCAGAACTTTCCTGTAGCTGTTGGTGAAGATGGCATCTGCGTATCGCCGCATCCTGTGCAAAAGGGTCAGAGGTCAGGATGGGGCCAGGTGAGAGGACAGTGTAAGCTACACTGCATCTCAGTACAGGCCTCCCTCTGTTGTTCTGGGTTCTCCTCACTCCCAGAGAGACTCCGAGCCCGGCCGCATGACCTCTGGGGCGCCATGCCTGGTGCCTGCCCGAGGTGAACAGTGGGCACTGTGAAGAAGCGGCTGGTAGGTCCTGTTAGCGTCGCCTGCTGCAGGGAGGTCTCAGAGGTGCGGGAATCCTGGCTGCTTACCTGAAGGGCATCGAAGGGGTCAGGGAGCAGTGGGAGCCACTGGTGAGGGTGAGAATCACAAAGAACACCCAGAGTGGCATCCTCCACCCCTGGCTGGGACCTGCAAAGAAGATCAGGAGGGCACAATCAGACATAGCCAGTGTCCCCTGGACACCACTCCGTGACAAGCCCTGGTCCTCATCCTTTGGCTGTGGGGCTTTGGAAATCAGACACACCTGGCTTCAAGTTCAACACAGTCAGTCCTCAGCTCTGGCTTCCCTACCTGGGATGAAGCCACACTGGCCACCTCATCAGGCTGAGCAGAAAATCAGTTAACATAGTGAAAACCGCCTGGAAAGTGTGAGGGGAACACACACACCACACACACACACACACACACACACACACACACACACACGTCACACACATACACAACACACACACACATACACACAACACACATACACAACACACACACATACACACAACACACACATACACACACAACACACACATACATACAACACACACATACACAACACACACACATACACACAACACACACATACACACACAACACACACACATACACACACAACACACACATACACACAGCACATATACACATAACACACACACAGACACATACACACACAACACACACATACACACAGCACATACACATATAACACACACACAGACACATACACACACACACACACACACACACACACACACTCACGCACTCAGGAGAGAGCATCATCCCCTGGCTGACTGACACAGGGGGCGGAGGGTACCACGCTCTTAGATAAATCTGACCTCAAATCCCGGTTCTGCCCTCACTGCCGAGCTCCCCATTACAAGTGGCTTAACCCATCTAAACCTCAGTCTCCCCAGCTGCAAAATGGGGATAATAACCTTAATTATCAGGTCATGTGAGAAGAAACACATAAGGAACTCTCTAGAAATTCTTGTTGTAGTCACCTGACACTTCTTTCATTCAGAGGATAGATTCATGCTGCTTCATTGTGTGGAGTTGGAGCAAAGACAGAAACTTCCTGTTCCAGAAGCTTCCATTTTGGAGGTAGGGTATGACATAGCATCTAGAAATGTAGCCAAGGTTTGCCTGGAATTCACTGTGTTGCCCAGGCTGACTTCTAACTCATAATCCTCCTGCCTCAGCTTCCTGAAAGCTGGAATTACAGACATGTGCCACCCCACCTGGCAGAATCGCTGCATTACACAGCGTTCTGAAAGCGGGGAGGACAGCGCCAGAATCTTCCTCACAGACTTCGCAATTACCCTTAACGGGGCCGGGCCTATTAACACCATGCTCTGCAATTAGGAAGAGCTGCCTTGGCTGAGGATGCGCCTGTCAGCTCTGGCCTGCCCTGCTGTGGAGCCACTGGCCAGCTCCGAGCTGGGTCTTCGCAGCAGAATGTCTGCTCTGGAGGATCTGACTGGTCCCTGAAAGGCGGCGCCCCTCCCCTCCCATGATTCCTCTCTCTCCCTAGTCCCACTGAGGGCTGATTTCTGCAGGCAGGGCCAGCACTAACCCAGTCCACCATGCTGGCCTGGGCTCACTTCTCTTAAGGCAACAGGCCCCTTCCGCAGATTCTGGCCTCCTCTGGTCAGAGGTGCCTTGGGTCCCAGAAAGCATCCATGGGAACTGTTCACTGGGGCCCCAGGCCCCTCACTCCACACCAGGCCTCTCAGCTACATTTTCATATGACTTTGGCCTCATTTCTTGGGTCAAGTATCTACACTCCCTGTCTTCTTCATATATCACATCGGGGCTTTCCTTTTCCAGCAGGGCTGGGCCTCTCCAGAAGTGGGACTTTCCAAACAGGGAACTCTTTGGACATAAGCCGCTGGCGGGGGCGGGGATCCCCTTGACTACAAACCACTGCATTTCCTGCCTCTCCACAACACACTGCTCTTCACTTTCTTCCTGTCGTCTCCAGTCCCCTGGTCTCTCTGTCTCTGTCTCTCTATATCTCTTTCTGGTTTTTTTGAGAGAGGGTTTCTCTGTGTAGCCCTGGCTGTCCTGGAACTCGCTCTGTAGACCAGGCTGGCTTCGAACTCACAGAGATCTGTTTGCCCCTGCTGAGATTAAAGGTGTGCACCACTATGCCCTGCTGGCCCAAATGACTCTTTACCCCCGTAATCAGAAGCCCTCTGGCATGAAGTTGGGGCCCTACTCTTGACCTAAGCTGTCCTCTGCCTCCTCCCCTGCTCCCTAGAGCTCAAAAGGAGATCCCAGCCCCCACCCAAACCCCACCGTCCCCACCTCGATCTTCCTCACACCCACTCCAGAGCAGGCACTGTCATCCTCATTCCAACACTAGAGCCCAAGGACGAGGGAGGATTTTTCACATGGTCCTCCACCAAAATAGCTCGAGTGGGCGCTTCAGAACAGGCCCTTACTTCCCAGGCCCGCAGACTTCCTCCTGCTCACGGGGCTATTTCTCAGATACAATACCCTATTCACAATTCTCCCCATTCACGGGACCTTCAGGACGGGTCACCTGCGCGTGGGAAAGGATTGGAAAACAAAAATGGAAAGCTTTCGCTCCGTGTCATGGGGCCTCCCAGAACTCAAAAGAGGAAGGAACACTTGCTTGATTGGCACCTCCCTCAGCACACGCAGTGGTGTCAAGGAGGTGAAAGTAACCCTCATCAGAGGGCAGCCTTTGGGGGAGCAGTTTTCGTAAGTCCAGCAAGACCCCATTCATTCATAATAAGGTTCGGTCCCTGCACAGCCTGGTCAAGCAGGAGCATCAGTACTTGCAAAGGCCCCAGGGATAAGTCCCGATTCTACAGCAATCCCAGCTCTGCAAACCTATGGCATAGGGTTGCCCAACCCCAGTGAACAAAGACCGGAACAGCCAGAGTCATTTGGGCCAGGAGTGGTGGCGCATGCCTTTAATCCCAGCACTTGGGAGGCAGAGGCAGGAGGATCTCTGTGAGTTTGAGGCCAGCCTGGTCTATAGAGTGAGATCCAGGACAGCCAGGGCTACACAGAGAAACCTTGTTTCAAAAGGCCAAAAAAAAAAAAAGGAACAGAGTATGAAATAGCTGTCACCTGTGTCCCATGTGACAAAGTGGCCCAAACCCAGTTGCCTTTAATGACACTTAAGGTACTCTAGACTTGGGCATGTTAATTCTGGGATTGGACATAGGTGAGGTCTTGGGTGTTAGGAGAAAGGGGCATCAATTCTCATCAGTCGACACCTTTGCCAGCCTCCTGCCACAAGCACCACAAGAATTCTACAGACACACATCTGTGACAAGTAACAAGTCATGTCCCAAGTGTCCACATATCTGCAAAAACCTCCAGGGGTCTTCTACCTTCATTAAATGTTCTCCTTTGCAGCCGAGAACTGCAAAGCATCGAGACTCTCAGCTCTGAAGCCATTTGACCAAGAACACTTCAAGTGCCAGGAAATCTAAGGCTGAGCATTTTTTGTGGTGCAGGAGACAGAACTCAGGGCTTTGCACATCCTAGGCAAAGTTCTGGCACTGCCGACACCCCACACAAAATCAAAGTTTTCAATGAGGAAGCATGGGCCAAAGAAGGGTTTGAGGCAGTTTATGGTGGAAAACAATAATAATAATGATGATCATGATAAGTATTTCAGGTCTATTCAAGTAAGGAGCAGGGGTCAGGCATGGGGTCATAGAAGCCTCCAAAATCCAATAATTGTAACTGAAAATTAGAGCAAGGAGCCTGGCCACAATCGAGGGAGAAAGCAAAATGTTATCAATTTCCAGGCAATTATACTGAGTTGGTTCTGGGTGATCGATGAGCCGCATTGATTTCTACAGCAATTGAGCTGCTTTTGGATGCACGGCTGAGTCCTTCATTGACAGGAGAATCCAGCCAGCTCTCATCTCAACCCAGAAGCCTGCCTCACACCCACACCCTGGAAGGAGCCCCCAAAACCTCCCTCGCCTCCACCAACCCCCACAACATTTCTTTCTGCCTGTCACTTCTCCATGTGTCCAAGACCTACGCCTTCACCACAGTCCCTACATGGCACCAGCCACCAAAAACACATTCCAGAGTCTCTGCTGAGGGGCCACTACACTCAGAGCGGCTACTACATGTCCTCACCAGTCCATGGACACAGAGACTGGCCAGGGGCCATTTGACTGGTTTCTGTTAGTTGGTGACATGTCAATATTTCTTGCCCCTATCCAACCCTCCCCCCAGAGCCACCCCCTCTCACCTCCAATGTGACAGGTGTCGCTCTCGGTCTGAGGCGCTGCTCCGGTCCCACTGACCTCAGGCATCTGCTCCAGCCTCTGCTGAGCTCTCACATTTATACCTTAATTTTCCTAAGTGTTGTCCGCGTCAGAGAGTCGATTACGCACAAGTCAACTAATGCACCCTTTTTAGCACCACACAGACTATCTCTAATGGGGAAAAGTGGTTTTTGTGCCCCCACAAATTAAGGCCCATACCAAACTTTCCCTCTGTCTTTGAGGGGGTGAACATCATCTAATGTTGAATGATTATTCTGAGAAAAATAGTGAATAATACTGAGACTCTGGTAATTATATTTACAACAATGTCATGTCCTTGTTCGTTCTCCCAAAAACTGTGCCTTTTCAAATTCATATAATTCTGTTTTGTCCACACATAACTTGATTTCACTTTCGAGTAGACAGTCTTAACAATAAGTGTTTTTTTTTCCTCAGTGAGGAAAATGGTTCGCTGTCTCCCTTGTCTTCCAATTATCAGAATTTCCCCGTGTTTGATTTACACCAGCTGCTGCCGTCCACAAGCAAATTTTGACAGCCGACCCTGGAGCAACCTCTGTCATGTGTCAAGACAGCCCAACATGGCAGCTGCCTCAGGAAGGTGTGAAGGGAGAGAAAAGAGATGGGGACCTTGGGAGAACTGTGATGGCTCCAGATTTTTCTAGCCTGTAGCTCAGTATTCCTCAAGAATAGCATAGAAATGTCTGAGGCAGAAGCCCTGGCTTCCCGTGCAGCTCTGTGGACTAGTCAAGAAGGCTCCACATAGAGGTCAGGGACCTGCCTCCTCTTCCTTGTCCGTCAGTCACAACCTCTGTGACCTTTCCAAGCTCCCTCTACCCTCCAGGCCTCTGCGTCTATACCTGTGAATGGCAGCTCTCAAACTTGGTAAAAGTTCCTTTTCTTTGGAAATCGATCTAACCATAGCCTGCAAAATAGATTGGTAAATGGGCCTAACTGAGTACTGGGGCGTGTGGACCTGCAGGGCCAACTTCTTAGGAAGCCGAGGCAAGAGGATTTACTTGAGTCCAGGAGTTCTAGGCCAGCTTGGGCAACATAGCAAGGCTCCAAAAGCAGGTGGGGTAGAGACAGTTAGTTCATCAAGGGCTTGTGACGTGAACATGAGGACCTGAGTTTGGATCCCTGCATGCGAAACATGACCAGGAGAAGCAAGCACCTGCAGTCCCGGCCGTGGGAATGGAGATGGCAGGATCCTTGGAGCTTCTGGCCAGCCAATCCAGCCATGTCAGTGAGTTCCTTTTCTCAAAAAATAAGGCAGTGAGAGATTGAGGAAGATACTCAATAGTAACCTCTGGCTTGCACACACACATTAACCCTACCACCACCATGTATACACACACGCACACTCACATGCACACATACCAGTGCACATACATATATATGCATACACACATGCACACACATATATATGCATACACACATGCACACACACACATATATATATACACACATGCACATACATATACACAAGCTCATGCACACATGCACCACACATACACATGCATGCATGCACATGCACAAACATACACACACACAACTGTGCTGCTCTGAAGGAAGACAGGGAAATGAAGACATCTCTCCCCACTCCTGAGCACCTCTGTGGTTCAGTTTGAAGCAAGCACTTTTTGAGAACCTCCTAGCCTTCACTGAGCCATGTTCCTGCATACAGCAAACATGAGATGTTCCCCACACAGGTGAGGGCTAAGGGACACGTCACCCTGCTGACCACATCTGCACAGAGTGGTCAGGTCAGACCACAGCTTCAAGAATAAAAAAAAAAAAATGAGACGATAAGTTTAAAATAAGTACCAAAACACAAAACCAAAACCAATAAATGGGCTGATAGGTCCTGGCCACAGACAGGTGGTTGGGACAGTCGGGGCTGTTGGGATCCTCAGGGCAATGGGTTCCTGGGCAGGTGGGAAGTGTGAGAACATTGCTGTAAAGAGAAGAGGGGCCCTGGAGAGCTGGGCCTCCTGAGTGGCCAGACTCTGGCCTAGGTGCAGATGCAAGGCTCGTAGAGCTGACTGGGGAAGCGATGAGAACCCAAGTGTGACCCCAGCCATGCTAGGCCCCACGTATGCCTGACCTCCGTTTCCTCCCGTGGGACTGGTTGCTGGGCTCAACTCCCGAGTAAGCACTGGGTTGTGCGTAAGGTACAGGGGTGGCACAGAGTGAGCTCTGCCGCTTGTGAGCTCAGCATTTGAAGAAGAGGCAACAGAGGCCCAGTGAGCCAATCAGAACCCGTGCCCAGACTTCCAAATGCAGAGCCCCACACCAAACCGAGGGCTTCCCAGGGTTCCCTGGCCCCACCCCCAACACTGAAGCTAGCGTATCACAAGGACCACTTTGCTCTTTTTCCTTGTTGTTCTGGAAATCCCAGTCAGGGCTTCGTGGAAGCTAAGCAGGTGCTCTACTATTGACCGCACCCCACTCAGTTATTACAGATTTTCAGTCCTTTAGGGATATCATCAGGATATACAGCTGTGCCACCATCACCACAGCCCTGTCTCAGAGTTTACTTACTTCAAACCACACCCCTTCCCCCCATTCGCCATTCCCTCCGCGGCCCCAGGCAGAACCCATCTGCTTCCTGTCTTTTTCTTTGCTGAGAATTCCTATGTACTGAAGTATATGACAGGTATTCCCCCGCGTGTCACTGAGACAGATGCGTGGGGATCCACGCATCAAGAGTTTGGTCCTTTTTCTTCTGTTGTATGGCCGGATGACAGCTTGCTTATCCACTCACCACAAGGGACATCCATTCGCTGGAGGCTATATATTAAGAATCACTCTACAGGCCAGGTGGTGGTGGCACATGCTTTTAATCCTGGCCCTTGGGCGGCAGAGGCAGGTGGATCTCTGTGAGTTCGAGGCCAGCCTGGCCTACAGAGTGAGTTCCAGGATTAGCCAGGGCTACAAAGAGAAACCCTGTCTTGAAAAAACAAAAATCACTCTACAGAGCTGGAGAGAGATGGCTTAGTGGTCAAGAGCACTGGTTGCTCTTTCAGGGGACTCCTGTTTGATCTCCAGCACTCACATGGACTCACAAGCCTCTGTAACTCTAGTCCCACGGCATCCAATGCCCTCTTCTGGCCCCCACAGGCAGTGCATGCAAAGGGTGCTCAAGCACAAAGATAAGAAAATTAAATTGTAGTTTTAAAACACACTGCTATGAATCTTTGTGAGGTTTAATGAGAATGGATACATTCATCACTCTTGAGGTCTCTAGAAACAGAACTGCTGGACTGTGTAATAAGAGGACATCTGGAATATTTAAAAAGCTTCCAAGGATGAAATGGCTCAGAGAGCCAAAGTGCTTGCTGTACAAGAACCCGGGTTCTATCCCTGGAGCCCACGGTGGAAAGGCAGAACCAGTTTCCAGAGGTTGTCCTCTGACCGCAACAGGTTCACGATGACACATGCCTGCTGGCTTATACACACAAGTGTGTGTACACACAAGTCATACACGCAAAAAAGATCGTGGAAGAAGAGGAGGCGGGGCCGGGGGGAGGGGGGCTGGGGAGGGGTGGGGGGGAGACTGCCTAACTCTCCTCCAGAACTGAGTTGGTCCCTTTACACTTCCTCTAGGGCGAGGAGCACTGTCTGGCCAGTTCTTAGGTGAGCATCTCTTTCCTTCTCTTACAACTTCCCATCATGCCTAGAGGCTCAGTGCCCGCCTTCAATCTCAATACTGAGGCAGCCCCCTTAGAGGCTACAGCGCTCTCTGGATTAGCTGTCCTGAGGACCAGGGTCTCATTTCTGTCATTAAGGGAATGTATGGGCCTCTGTCTCTGCTCTGCATTTGGGCCTTGAGAAGTAGGGGGCCCCAGCTCTTGTCTTCACTGGTGCCTTCAGGGGAGCAGGAGCTTCAATTCCAAAAAGCACAGAAAAGCGCTCAAGAATTGGGGGAAAGGGGAGGTCACTTCAAACTAGAAGCACCTCAAAGACAGGCCAGGGAAGGATCTCAAAACAGGCACGCTGGCCTGGGTAGCCAGTGGATTTAGATGAAAAAGCATTCTGCCCCATGTGTGAACCTGTAAGGCACTTAATCTCTCGGCATCCCAGGGACTACATTTGCGGTGGGGATCATGGCACCTAACTCCCTAGTGAGGAAGTGGAGACGGGCAGATACAGATTATAGCTGGCCCCGAGCTCAGAAAGCCAGGCAGCATGGTTGGGAGAGCCGGGAGCCATTTTGTTGACAAGCTTTATTTGCTCCTCAGCCCACTAAGAAGATGGAGAGAGAACGCCAGAAAGTCCTGAGAATAAAAATCCAGCCTCCACCTCCGATTCCCACCACTCTGCTCTGGCTGGCCTCCCCCAGGGCTGGCTCTTTCCCAAGATTCGCTTTTAACCCAGCCTTAATTAGTGATCTCGGCTGTGTCTAGGGTCCCTGGGCTTGAGCTGAAAAAAGAAAGCACCCCAGAGAGAGGCAGGCTCTAAAAGGACCCCAAAGGTTGGGGCAGCGTGGCTGGGCTGAGAGGGAGACAGGCTGTACATTTGTGTTGCAAATTTCCAGTGTGTGAGAGCCAGCCATTCAAAGAGGAGGCTGCTGGAAGCTGGTATGGGAGATGCGGAGAGGGAGCCCGTCAACAAAGGGGGCCTATCTGCGAGCCTCAGACCGAGCTTTGTAAACACTGCTTTCATGTCCTTCCTGAAGAATGGAAGCATTCCCAGCCTGCCCCAGACCACTGTGCAGAAGGGGAGGCCCAGACCCTAGACTTCCCAATTCCCTTGACCCTCCCTCTTGCCCTTTGGGGTCCGTTTATGGAGTCAGCAGCGGCAAGTGTCACGTGGGTGCACATGTGCATTGTTGGAGCCGGGTCCTCAGTGCTGGCTGCTGTGGCCTCTCTGGGTGGCCCCCAGACAGAGCCACGTGACTTCTCTGAGCCTTAGTTTCTTTTTCTGTAAACTAGGCCGGTCAGACCTCTCTCCTGGTCTGTGTGGTTCTTCCTGAACAGACAGACACGCTTCTGACTGGGTGGTGACTCTGAAGCTCT